CCTGCTTTTCCATAACATACAGTTAATTTTGGAACTGATTTCAATGATTCTTGGGCTCTTTTTTGCTTGCTGCATTTTTCAGCACCACTGAGATAAACTCTATGCCTCTGCTTTTCTGACATGGCATTGATAAGTTTCGATGCTTATCTCAGGTGTTCTGCAAGGTCTGTCTGTGTGGCTGTACAGACTCCCCTTCACTGCACTCTTTGCAAGGGTGAAGTTAGAGTCTTCCAGAGCTCTGAGTGCTTGTGCAGAACAAACTCATACCAAAATCAAAACCAATGACATATGCACTGTATATCTTCACTAAATTACATTTCAAAAATACCCAAAGCCTTGTGATAAAAAAATTAAAATGAAGGATATCATGTTAACCAAAGACTCTCCACACTCTCTCCAATATAGTCCTTAATTTTCATATAGGGTAATATATATGCTTATATATTTCCTATACATGGGTTTGTTTATTGCATCTTTCTTTATCACTAGGTGCCCCTTTCCCATGATTTGCACAGCATATACCTGATCAATTCCTTCAGGTCCACAAATTTTTCATACATCAATATATTTTTTTAACATGTTATCCTGTATAATCATGTATGTGATGATGGTGGCTCCCTATATATAGGATTAAACATACCTTCAGTTCGTAAACTTTCATTACAAAAGTACGATTTTTTATTTTTATCATTCTATATGTATTATTTACATTACTTATCTATTTATTTTATTTATTATTTATGTATTTATTATTTGTTTATTTAACTTTCTTCTTGGCTGCTTGGGGGCCCCTTCCAGGTGGGGGCCATAGGCACGTGCCTATCTTGCCTAATGGGTAATCCAGCCCTGGCCGTGTGGCTTTTTGCTATGTTTCCTGGAGAGGCCCTAAAGCCTATCTTTTAACATTTTATGCCATCCAAGATTACTACTTCTTCTAGTCAGTTTGGAACATATTTTGTCCCTAATCCATACCAGTCATCCGTACTTCAATGAATATTCATCCCAAATATGTATCTGAGTAGAATATTGCCCTTTTGAAACAGCAGTGAAGGTTCTTTAAAAGTTTTCAAGTAAACGTAAATAAAATGAATTGTCAGAACAAAGCCTGAAATCTTTTATCTTCTTTAAGATCATTGCAACTGTACTAACATCATCACTATTAGTTTCTGCAACAGTTTCTAGGTGGGCAATACAACACATCCATGTCCATTAGTAAAGATTTGAGCACCAAGGTCCCTTTAGAAACACTAACATCTTCACATCACACAAATACACACACGCAACATGCTTAGATCTCACGAGTACTCGTGTAGTATGTCCAGCAGATCATGTACTTAGTTAAACTACTGTCTTTCATGCTCTTTTTGTATCAAAGGCATTTATGATCTGTTTGGTGTCAAGTGGTTCTAATAGTTTATTTTCTATGTACAAAAGTGCCAGTGTTGATCAAAGTATGTTCATTATCATTTTTAGTGTCGATAATGATCTTTCTTCCAAGCAGTTGCTTGACATGAGGCACGGGTACATAGATTATCAGGACGTTTGAGAAAGTTGATTTCAGAGATTGTTTGCATATCATTATCAGCATATGTAGAATACGTACTAATCAGCTTTTTGGTGGCATTACAGAGGTCCTCTGTAGGCATGTACTCTTAAGTTTCATAGAAACCCAAATTTGCAACATACATTTTCATATGCCACTATTCTGTTGTCTAGTGCAGGTGAAAGGTTGTCAATTATTGTTAAGAAAGTCTAAACTTTATATTGAGTAGAGGGTAAAAAATCACTGTTTTCAGCATCTCCTTTGACCTATTGACCTTATGTGTCTCGTATCCTGACCAATGTTTACCCTTTTCCTCATATTCTGGAAATAAATCTTGTAATTCCTGCATGAATGTCTTGAGAGATTAGAAGCATATGAGAAGCTGCACTGACATCTGTTTGGAAGTTTTGTAATGAACAACTTGTATTGTGAAACCTGTCAAAGATAATGCTCCATAATTCTGTCATTATACCTGTTTCTAGTTATTTCAATTTTAGCATAGACTTCTTGACTCTATCCATACTTGAGGCTTTTCAGATTCATTGTCTGTAATTGAAACAAGGACTTGTGTTATAGCTTTGTACCCCATTTTCAAGGCTCACATTGCATCTGAACAGGCACTCCATCTTATGTCTGATAACTTCTTTATCGTTGGGAACCCTAGTTTTTTAAAGCATATTGTGTTGGTGTTTCCATGGGTGGGTTGAAGCTAAGAAAAACACATAAAGCTTAAAGGCAAAGAATAAACAAGCTTCGGTAGAGCAGTTCGCAGTGCATTGTCAATCCAAATTGAGCAAATGAGCACAGTAGGTAACATTGTCTGCTAGAGGGTTTTTCTCCTTGATCAAGGCTTTCATGCCAACATATTTGATGTTCATATTAGATGAATTTTCATAAGACTGCCCAAGATAATCTTAATTTCTTATATCATTCTTTTTCAAGTAAATTAATGACAACTCTAGCTAGTTCTACTCCTATGTGATTGCTTATCAGTAAGAATGTGGTAAATCTCTCTACAGGGCCGTCATCAGGAACATATTTAAAGATTATTCTCAGTTAACCCATGTGAGATATGACTGGAGTAGAATAAACAGATACTGAGTAAT